AAAGTGGCTATCGAATCCTGAATATTACCGTATTAATGAATCTGGTAATGAAAGAATTGTTAGAAGATTAGAGTATGTGTGTTACATGTATAAAACGTATGGCAAATCATATTCATGCGATTCACTAAAAATCAACTATTTCGAAACTAAATATCTTTATATCTTAGGAGAAGAAATTAACATAGATTTCTCAGATTTGAACAATAATTGTGAGTATGTGCGCTGAATTTTCCGGAGTATAGATTCGATATCAAAATAGATATTACGTATTTATTATAATAATTTATTTTTTTATAGTTGTCCACCATCGATATGAAATAAAAATCTATGAAGTGTATATTTATTTATGATTTTCTCATCTATGGTCAGTAATATAATTAAACGCTTTGGAAGTTTGTGAACAAACAAATCATCCCTTCTCAGAAATAAATTTTTTCGGAGTGAAGAGTTTTGTGAAATTTTATCTAAAAAATTTTCTGATTACTTTTTTTTCTATTTTCGAATTTATGAGAAAATAGAGGATCCACAATTTGACTAATTCTATTCATTAACTGGAGTACTTTTTTCCTTGTGCTTCTGCCTTGTCTCTATCTCCTTCTGCAGGTTTAGTGGAGAATCAAACCTTAGTTGAATTGCAAGAGGATCATTCTCCGGCCTGGTGAGATCAAATACAACAAACTTACCTTTACGAAGATAGCTGTTAATAACTATGGAAGCACCCTTTACATCATCGGTATAGTGCCTAATAATCTTGGAAATATCTTCATGCGAGCTACCAATGGATTGAAATAAAACTCTACTTATTATAGTTAATTAACTAATATGGAATATTTCAAGTTGGTAGAATGTGACCCAAGGTCACAACATCACATGATTACTGCGCCACATTACTGACCTGGACCAGGGACCTGAGAAAATATCGATTTGGCAAAAATATCTATTGATTTGGTCAAAAATATCGATTTATATTGATTTACATGATCGAACCAATCAGAATACAAGTTGTTGACTGTCTATATTCTGAAAAATTCTGATGACTCGGGCTGGCCAAATTTATATCACCGGCCAAAATTATGCTATTAATTTGGCCCGAATTTGGTATTGTTACACTGCATTAAAAATTGCAAAAATATCTAAAAATATCGATTTATATTGATCTAAATAAATCAATATTTTTTCAGGTCCCTGACCTGGACACGCGTGTCCAATCTCGACAATATAACAGATAAGGTAACCTGATAACTACCGTATGCCCCTTAATTTAGACAAAAAGGTAAAGATATGGTTACTTTAAAAAGTTTTTGGCTTTTTTGCATCTTTTGTCTTTTCTTACTCCGCTACAGTTTGAAGGTTGGGAAAATGGTTTGGACCCCGAAGATTTCTCCCTTCTCTCCATCCTGAAATTCCGTAAGAAAAAAGATGATTTCTCGTTTCATAGAGTGGTCGAGCATACTCTTGTATCAAAGTTCGTTTCATACGTTGCAGAAAATGCAGATGAAAATTGGAGGAAGGTGGCCTCCATCCTTAACAAAGATGGTGAGCTAAAGGTGAGGCCAGTTAGGTTCATTATTGACACACATATTGACACACAAAGTGGCGAAGGAATAGAGAAGAAGTTGGACGCTGTCAAAACAACCGCCTAAGTAACCTCACAACGCGTTAGGTTAACTATGGAGACTAGTTATGAAACTTCCTCCGGTGGGCTTCTTCTTAAATCTGCGTGAAGGCCAAGGACAACTCGACTCAGTGTTAAGAACAACTCGTTCATTCGCAGTTCCCAAATGTTTCACCTTGAATGTATTTAAATAAGTTAGCAGACTGTAATTCACTTCTACTTTTTTAAGTCCCAGGCTCAATGGGAATCTACTAAGTCTTTCTGGTGCGACGTCGAGCTTGAGAAAATCGAGAAAGAAAAACAGTTAATAGAAAAGAAAATGGAACAAGCTGAGGTATTTGTCAGTTTAACTTGAATATTGGTGCATATAAACTGTACTAACTGTTTCTTACTATTTGTAGATGCAATTTGGCTTGGATCAATCCTTAGCCGGAAATGAGGCTCAAGTTATCTTAAACGAGACAAAGTTGGGTATTTTATCGGATAGGAAGAATTCCAAGAGGAAAGCTATCCATACAGGCAAGGACGATACAGATGCATTAACATCACCCACAGAAAAGGTAACAACCGCTCTTCAAAGATATTCTATTAGTGTTTTCGCAATAGTTTATATTTTTACATTAAATTTTTGCATTTTTGTAGGATGAGATTGATATTTTTTTTCAAAGCCATACAAATGCGATTACGAAACGTCCGAAATTGGATGAAAAGAACATTCTCAACGAGGAAGGAGTATGTTATTCGCATTGTTTAACTATCGACATTAATAGCTTCAAATTCAGGGATTTGTATAAGATTGTATTTACTCACCTAATACTTTTTTATGAACAGCCTATTAGTTATTCACAAAAATTATTAAATGAAGGGATCGAATTGGAAACACATAAAAAGGTAAAAGATTATAGGTAAAGCTACGGGAAAGTAAAAGCTTATGTATTTTTCTATATTTAGGCGAAAACAGCTACAAGAGTTGCTTCGAAAACAAATACTCAGAAATCAAAAAATGCTTCAGAAACAAGTACTCAGAATAATAATGAAAAGTTTTCTGAGCAGTCTTCCTCTTTTGATCTAGGGCCCGAGGGCGACGAAGAAATAAAGCTTGATTTTGCAAGCATTGAAAAAGAATTGTTACGGGAACAATCAAATGAGGTACATATCAAGATTCTGGTGCTTTTGTTCTGCATATCTCAACAGTTTACATCCGTTTTTAGTGGGAAGTCGATACCATAAATGTATCGCAAAGGTTTAAAAAATATCAAATAGAGATACTCGAGAAAGTGAAGACTGATGGATTAAGATGGTGTGATTTCCATGAAGTGTTGTAAGTATTTTTGGTCATGTAATGATTATATTGGATAATGTGTCAATGCTAACGATTTATATTTATGCTTGATAGGGCATTGTCTTCCGTAATTGTATTAAATTCGCCTTGCCCTTACCCTGGTCATATTTTCACCAATCGGGAATGGCGGGCGATTACATGTGAGAATCCCTATGTTATAACTGAACCGGTACTGCCATCGGATGTATGTTTTTCTTTACGAAATTCTTTGGCCGAATTCATGGAAGGCAAGGCTCCTTTTTTATCCTTGGAAGATTCCGAAATCGGGCGGGTGGTCTCACGAATATTTAACGACATGTAAGTTTTTATCCCATAACATATATCTAAAACTAAGATCAGATCTGCCTTAACTTTTTATTTCATGTATAACAGGTGTAGCAGTGTTCCTAAAGTTTCTCCAACAAAAACTTCAGAGGACGAACACTGCTTTAAGTTGCTACATCCAATAATCCGTCCATTGTTCTTCACTGATTCATGTGAAGAATACGTTATTCGACTGAATCGTGCTACCAGCGGTACGGCGACAAGGCCTGATTTTTCGTGCTTGGTTAACGATATTCCTATCCTGAATTCTGAGATAAAGCCACCTGGATTTACACCTCTCCAAGGACAAAAGGACAAGTTGAAAGTACAGTTGAGAGCGCGAAAGTCAATCAACCAATTATTAAGAACGAAAGGTGGACCAGACGAAACGGTTTTGCTAACAAATCAAGGTATATTTACTTGTAATCGGTAAAGCTTGATTCAACTTCAATTAAATATATTAACAATGCCTTCAGGAGATTTGGTAGAATCACATATAATGGATCTAAAATACGATGGACTTTATCGTTCTTGGCCGTTTTTAACTACACGATTAGTCAAGGATAAAACGACCATTCCTTTAATGGAGTCGAATATCCGCCACATGAAAGCATTAGAGGTACATAAATACTACGTATTTCATTTTCAAGTTTTCAATGAAACAGCTAACGACATATTTTGTTTATATTCTGATTGGTAGGAACGCATCAGCAAAATTGCTGAGAATTACAATTCCCGAGGTTGCCAAAATGAAACAACTCCACTACAAATACGATATATGAGAGACTTACCAAATAGTCCGCAAATAAAAAAGATACTTAATAGTTGATTGACAAACTTCGAATGTGGTTAAGTTAATGTGCAAATTTATTTTTTATGGAATAATCGGTTTATTCTAAATAGTAAAACACTTTACACCGCTTTTATTTTTAAATAAATCATTGTAGTGCATACGTGACATAATCCAGTCTCTTAGTTTACGCATGCATCACGAAAAATTATCCCAATATCTGTTATAACCTATATGCATGTATTATATAACATAAAAAATTTACAGTCCATTATGAAAAATAATGCAAGTGTAACGACTATGAGGCATTTAAAGTTTTGAGTTTACTTAATGAGACCCAATTCTCGAAGATGCTCAGGAATAACTATATATGGGTCTTCGTAATACCAAACATACCTTAGTGCAATCCAGTTTTCTTCGCATAATTCTTTCTTGAGTTGATCTTGTGCTTGCTGTTTGATAAATTTATTGGGATCTTCTCCGTGAAAGAATTCGTGATATTTTTCGTGTTGTATGCCTTGTACTTCGATTGCAAAGCCATATTGCGGATAAAATATATCAAGTTCTAGTCTATTTGGATGTTCTCGTGTTTTTAAGAATTCGGGCCTGCGGATTAGTGAAGGGGCACCAAGATATTTTTTTAAAATCTCATGACATAGCTTTTCTCTCTTATATTTTGGACAGAATGGACACCAAGTTCCTTGTTGAATACTATTAGGAATAGCTTCCCATTGATGTTTGTTTTCACAAACCCATTCTAGCTTTGTGAGTGAATTATAGTATTGATCTGAAAGACAATCTCCATTTTTTTTTCATGCAAGTTTACGCATATCATCAATTGTTTGATAATGACCAATGCAAAATGGACACTATTGCTCTCTATTTTTAATGTGATAAAATGTATTTTGCCATTGATGGCTAAATTGGCAACGCCATGTAAGTGGTTTGTCTATATTTCTATACTTGGTTGAAAGACATTCCCCGCCCCTAGATCGTGCAATTTGCTTTGCATCCTCAAGGGTTAGTTTTGCGATACCCGCACAATATGGGCACCATGAACCAGAATTTTTAACGTGATTAAACGAACTATTCCAAATATGTCCTTGATGGCATTTCCATGTCATCGGAGTTTTAGAATTGCTATATGCAGTTGAAAGACATCTACCATTTCGGCTAAGTGCAATTTGCCTAGCATCCTCAAGAGTAAGACGGGCATTTCCTGCATAATATGGACACTATTTACTATAATTTTTTACGTTATTAAAGGATGCATTCCATAAATGACCCTTAGTGCAACGCCATAGTAATGGCAATCGTTGATTTACATACCTTTCTGATAGACATTCTCTATGCCTTAATAGCGCAATTTGTTTAGCGATCTCGAGAGTAAGTTTCATATTACCTGCATATTGTGGACACCATTGTTCTAAATTTTTAATTCTAGAAAGTGGGGCACTCCATACATGGTTCTTAGAACAGCGCCACATTAATGGAGTTCTGTTATCTTTATATTCAGTTGAAAGACATATTCTATCACGTTCTTTAGCAATCATACATGTATCATTTAATGATAGCTTTTTCATTGTTTTTTTGTCATAGCTGAATCTCTTTATGCAGATCTAATTGAGTATTGAATCTTAATCTAATTGTATGTGGATTATCTTCTGGCTTGTTTAAATCAAACACAATAAATTCCCCCTTGTGAAGGTATTTGTTAATAACCATTGAAGCATTTTTAACATCATCAGTATATTGCCGAAGAATTTTAGAAATTTCTTCACGTGAACTACCAGAGTTAAACATCACTAGAAGGGAGATGTTCTCACGAATAATAATTGGTACATGATGATATTTCTGAGTAACATAGCATGGAGAAATATTTCGATGTCGCCCATGTGTAAAAAATGGAATAATTCGATTTTGGATAGACTCGGGAGCAACACATACATCCTCAAAAATGATTA